CAAGCTCTTTAGCTGTAATCTATGACATGTTAGAGTTCTAGCCATGCCATTGGCATAAAAAAGCAACCTGTTTGTTAAACCATATAAACAAAGAATAGTGTCTTTATATGGTCCTCTGTTTATATGGCATTGGTACACATTTGCATGAGAGTGTGAGGGTGCTAGCAGCTTATTAAAAAGTTAACCTATAGCAGCTCACAAGACACATATTTAAAAAAGCAGCCTATTAGTATGCCTAACAATGCGGCCCTGTAAAGAAATACACAAGGCATTTCAAGGTATAGTTACATTAAGGAACTTGTGGGCAAGTGTCTTAGACAGCAGGGTAACAGAAGACAACACTAAAGCCCTCCATTTACAAATTTCCTATTATTTATTTATTTATTTTTTGTCCCCTTTGGACAATTGTTGGAAAGCCCAGCAGAATAACTGAAAAGGGAACTAATCATAGTGACGTGACTCTAAAGCTTAATATAATATTGTTTAAAACATGTTTGAAAATTTAATAAATCATCCCTCCTGACTATAACTCAAAATAACTTTGCACCCGCCAACACCACCACGGAGCAATATTGTGTGTGGTTGCAGAGCATACATAGTCTTACACTGCTAGTAGAATTCTGGCACCATAAAGTTTTTGGAACATAGTATTGGCATGATAAGGGCTCAGTAAGCAGAGTTGGAATGATGTCATTCTAACGTAGTAGTGTGTGCAGTGCTGGTATTATTTTTAGCTAGAAGGTACAGTCCAGATATAGATAGTTGTGCTGATCCAGATATAGATGGCAGTGGTAATTTTATAAATAAATAGTCAACATAATCATGACATGAAGCATGGTGTATGTTAAATTACTATGTATAATTACTCATGAATGGTATTTGGACATTGGACTCAATAGTCTAACTATACAATGTCACAGCTATGGGTTTGGGGGAATTTGTGCTCTAGTAGAAATGTAATGACGTACAGCTCTTATTATAAAGGGAGTTGCAGAGGTCAAAAGAAAAATATACTATACGTCTTTACTTTAAATTCTTTTTACCCTCATTTGCACAATTCTTGGCAATGAAATAACACTGACTATCTCCAAAGCGGTGGTGTTATTGTATGTGTGCATGTATTAAAACAGAAGAAAAATATTGAAAAAATGACTTTGACTATATTTAAGTTAATACTTTTCTTTGCAAGACTAAAAATCAATGGGCAATTCAATGTCATGGCCACACTGAATAATTGTATTGTAGTTAAATTCACAGACAGCAGTACATTTACCTACTGAGACAATATAACATGGGGAGATCACATGCTCCATACCTTGAAGGCCTACTCCATTACATTGAAAGAGATAGAGCTTCGATGGAGAAGGGACGCAGCAAGGGAGTGCACAAGTATTGATAATTGGGATTGATAAGTATAAGTTGCTGCGGATATGGGCTATGACAAGGCACTATCACTTTTTTTCAAGTAAAATCCAAAATTCAGTAACAAACCAATTCTTTCCTGTACAGCAATGTTCTGGTGGGACCAGAAGCAAGTACTGACATAGGTACATACAAACACACTAAATACCAGGAATGCTAGATCTTAAAGTGATTGAAAGCAAACTTTTTCTTCTTTTAAAATAACAAAATATGTTATACTTACCTGCTCTGTGCAATGGAATTGCACAGATCAGCCCCAAACCTCCTCTTTTAGGGTCCCCTGCCGGCGCTCCTCCTCTTCTCAGTGTGCTACCACAGGAAGCCACTTCTTATCATTGCACACCTGCAGGATCAATCCAGAGCTGCGCTGCCTGCATCTATAGAAACATACAGCACTGTTCAGCCCCCACTCCCTGCTCCCTCATCACAGGATCTGACTAGACTTTAGAAGACTTTAAAATTTGTGCAGTCCTGTTATCTTGTTGGTGTATCAAACTGCGCCTTTTACTGAATGAATTGTGTAGAATTCCCAAGTCAGCAAAATGCAGAAAAGAGGTATTATTATTGTTATTATTAAAGCATCCTAATTCCTTGCCTCTGTATTCCACACCCCTTCTACACTGTTCTGGTTAGTGTGTCTGCAATAAAGTCAATAAACGCTAAATTTATTAAAAAGCATAAAGCCCATTAAAAACAGAGCAGAAAGAAATAACGTAGGTGGGTTGCCATTGCAAATACTAATTGCCTGGCAGGCTGTCATTAGAATATTTTCAAAGACATTAAACTTTATCAAGTTTGTAGAAAGTGTCAGAGTGAAGTCAGAACCTCTGATCTCAATATTTATTATCTATATCTGTGACTCATGGGTTTTGGTTTACTACAATGAGAAGAGACTGTGAATTGTCAATTAATTTAGTAATTAATGTGAAATTTGAATTACCATCTATACCCAAATATGTACAAGGTTAATAAATGGATGTTTGATTGCACAAGATTGCAAAATGGAAGTAAACACAGTTATAAATTATTCACTAAGGCAAGTGAACAGGTACTTTGCAAAGTAATATTTACTATCCTATGTAGACAGTCATTTCTCCTTTAGTAAATCAATCCCAATATACATATATAGTATGTTCACTAGGAGGTTATCAACAGCAGCTTGCATTTGCCCTTTGGGAAGGATTCCTAACACTGTGCAGTAACTATAGCTGTATGTACATAAAAAAGAAAAAAATCCACAACTCCGTAATTGCAAGGGCGCTGCTGGACCTGAATGTACATAGAAAACATTCACTGTATTCTTGTTATGAAGTAATAACTGGTAAAATCCGAACTATACACTTTTATAGCTGAGTATAAGCATTAATTAAAAATTTAATAAAAAAATTAGTTAAAAATAATGACATTTCAAGCAATTTATTTTACTTTTTAGAAAACTGATTTCATTTTTCTTATTTTCTTAAGTTAAAAACATTTCTGACTAAAAAGCTAATTTCCCACTAATGAACAGAATGACATTTTCATTCTCGGGAAATATACTCTGTTTGGTAACATGATTAATTTAATCCTAATATGTTTTACATTTATTTTTCAGTTATGTCACACATTTGTCATAATATGGCATTGCAAGCACATTGAACAATATTTCAAAATGATATTTAATAATCACTTAGTTGCCTTCCTGTGCTGTGCAAATAATTAAACCAAGCATTGAGATTACCTACTGTTAAACCCTTTTCTCTGTACGAAGACATTTTTGAATATGTTACACTTACTTAAATATGAAAATCTACCTGAAAAATCAATAAAAATGCCCTCGCTGCTCCCCTTCCCCCCACTCCTGCCTTGAAAAAATTCACAGTGTAATTAATTGCGAATTAGTTTAAATTACTGAAGGGTTTAAATTATAAGGTAGCACATAAAAAAAGAAATACCATATACATCCAGAATGAAAAAAATATGGTATACACCAATCCATATTGTCGTATAAACATAGATAATTCATATTAATTTTTATTCATCTAAAAATATAAATATGCTAGTTTTAATATAATACATGTTTTAAGTATATCATATTGCTATCAGCTTTATTTCCAAAATTTGTATGGATAGCTACATACTAATAAAACCAGAGTGATTTAAATAAATAAAAACAATTTCAAAGAGAAATTATAACCCTGGGAAAAAGAAGTTGCTTTGCTAAAGGTGTAAATTGCCATGCTAGTTTTACTTTAAACACTAAGTCAATTGCAAGAGTTTTACATTTGCAAACTCCTCTGCACACGGTGGAAATTTGAAGCAACACATTAACATCAGGCCAAAGGAATAAAAAAATATTCTTTAAATAAATTAATGTTAAATTATTGAAGAAAAAAAAAAATCATACTGTAGTCAAAGTGTACCTTATGAAAACTGAAATAATTTTAAAACCATTTTGTAGCCTTTTTATTGCAAGCTTGGCCCACACATTTGTCTTCTTTGTTGCATTATGCATACAAACTAAAATGGGTAAAACAGAAGGATTAGGAGGGATTAAGGAAGGTTGGGATGTGTTAGGAAACAGCTGCAATGCTTGTATAATACACCCATTGCTGCATGCACGGACTGGATTACCACTGCACACTTAAGTTGTGTGGGGCAACTAAGTTCCACAGGCAGTCTAAATGATCTGGCTGCTATACTACTTAAATTACAACTACAAAGGAAGCAAAAAAAGGATAAAATCCTATCAGAAACATGAAGGACATGCACAAGATATGAGAGCAGGTGACTCAGTTTGTTGAGTTTAACCACATACCTCTTTCCCCTGCCAGGACCATCCAAGATAGAAAGAACAGTGGAAAAAACAGGGAGGAAATTTAAATATGCAAATCAGGCATTAGTTGGGTCTTTTTGGACTTTAAGTACTGTGAATTGGCTGATGGTAGTGAATCGTGATTGAAAACACACTGGTTGGCTTCTAACATCATAAATGCTATCCAATTGATCAAAAATATGTCATAACAATTTAACAAAAAATAAATAATATTGAATACATAATGTGTAAAAAAATAATTTTAGCATTTTAAAAATCGAACTTAAAAATTATGACACATAACGGATTAAAAAAATTGGCAGGTGGTGGTGATGTATATAGGTTTCAAAGAAATAAAAAAGTGCAGAAAAAAAAAATTTGGATTGCATTTTTTAGTAAAAGTGCTGATCAATATCATCACTGTGAGTATACCAAAGTATTAACCTCAAAATGTCTATTTGAAATGGCTACCATTATCATTATCTATATAATTAATACAAAATGGCTCTAGGACACTGGACAGTTCATATACATCTGCCTAGAAAACGTTTTGTGCATTTCTGTATTTTTTTTTAACCTTCAAGTTGGAAAACAAGTATTAAACATTTGAATTATTTTTACATGCTGGTACTTATAATTTTACATTTGGTTGATTACATGTAACACTTTCTCCCCACTACTAATATTAAAAAAATAAATCTGCAGAAAATGACAAGTCTAAATATTCTAGAGGCTGCTCTAGAACATATATGAGCAACAAATTCTAGAACATTTCAATTCTCACCTCTGCGTGGTGCTCTTCATTTTGCTGGAGAACTTCAATGACCAATTCTGCAAGTCGTATTGTGTCTTCAAGCTTTTTGGCAGGAGTTACTAACCGACCTACATTTTCTGAAGTAGAAGAAGATGAATTAGAAAATGCCTGGATGGGTTCAATGTAGGTAGAAATTTCAAGGGTTAGTTAAAATCCAGGATATTCCAAAACTGTATTAATCCATGCATGTTTTGTTAAAAAAAGCTCAATAATTCAAATTTACCAAATAAAAAATAAAAATCACAGGTTTTTTTGTTGAGCTACAGAAACAGTGCTCCAGCTTTATATGGAAATGTAACATATACTCTGATTGGTTAACAAATATTTGTCAACATGAATGGCTATTTTATGAACAATTATTGTTTTCAGTTATAGTTGTTTCATAGTTTCTGTGATTTCACTGGCCTGTGTATGTTGTTTTTGGATCTACAACTTAAGTAAATAAACATGGCAAACTTTAAAATAATGATAAAAATAGTGTTCATTGTATTATCAGAGCACAAAGAAAACTATAGAAGACTACTATTTCTTAAAGGCTGAGTGAGTGGTGAAGGTTTTTTGAGCAGTTTATTTCACACTGTCACCCACTTTTCTCACAAGAGATCTACAAAAATTTATGTGTGAACCATGCTTTACTCAAAACATAACTATACAAAAAAATTAACAACTCAGTTACTGTATCTTGCACGATGTAGGGAAAAGTTAATAAAAGGGACAATTTAACTGTTGCTATACCAGCACAAATATTGCATTGGCCTGGCCCCTAGTCAAGTAACCACTGTCCAGGCAGATAGGAAATATTTTAACTGGCTGACATTAGGAGCCTGGTCAGTCAGAGGTGCAAACCCCTGATATTACCCTCGAGATCTGTTCATGTGTGCTCGCAATAGAAAAATTAAGGCACTCAAGAGAATTCTAAATACTTTGGAACTGGTCATGTGCCCAAAATGAAGGGCCAATGCAGAACTTCACTTATCACAGGAAAAAGAAGGTCTCTTTCATGTTTCAATAACATTTCCTTATAGCATGAAGGCTGAAGGTAGGAATGCCTGCTCTGGAATAGGCAAGGTGAAGAGAATACTTATGTGAGCCTGCAGGAGGAGAGAGCTCAAGGTGGGTATCATAAATATGGTTACATATTCCCTTACAGTCCAAAGACCAAGAAGGAGGCCAGGCAGTGACAGAGAGTTTCTAGAAGTGTGAGCTCTGAAAAGTGTTGTCATTCATAGCAAGGATGCAGAAGATGTGTATTACTTTAAAATCTTTATGGCAGCAGGGGCGGACTGACCATTTGGAAACTCGGGCACTGCCTGAGAGCCCGGGGTCAGTGGGGGGGCCCCATGAGATGCCCGATACCTTTTTCATAGGCTTTTTTGAGTTTGAGGAAGGACACAGGGGCCCCATGATCCCCTATTCCCCTATTGCCCGGGGGCCACATGAGTTGTCAGTCCACCCCTGTATGGCAGTTAAAACTGTTCATATATGTGATCACTTTGTCTATTTAGCTGAACCTGTTGTTTAGTGTGTGTATATCTTTTATGATTAGCCGGTTTTGATTTTCTTTATTTTTATTATTCAAATAATTCTTTGTATATCACAGAGCCCAGAAGGTATAACTGAATCTAAAATAAATGATCGACATAAGAAATGCCGGGTTAACAGCTGGAGCACTGACACGTAAAAAACTAGTATATTGATGAAATAAAAAATTGTTTAGACATTATTTGAAACTCATAAATTTTAACATCATGCAGAATGTTATGTAACAACAATGTTTATTTTGTGCTGACATTCATATTGGAAAATGTTGCTGGTGCCGGACAGATCTACACAGGAATGGACATATTGAGAAGAAGTGCTTGAAGGCCGATGTTCAAAACTACACTATGTTAACTCCTAGAGTGCTGGGAGTAGCCAGCAATGCATTGATGTGTACTGCAATGCATTGTGGGTCCTTACAGCACTGAAGGGTTAAGGGAAGAGGGGAAAGAGGCTAGGCTAAACAAATTAAATGAAATAAAGCCGATACAGTACTTGGTATTGGTCTAGGCATGCCTTTCAGCCTTTGATTTAACATGTTAGCCTGGGTTTGAATGGATGGAGGCACAGGTGGTTTAGGCCGATGAACTGGGCATGCATGACAGAGAAAAGAGTCAAAAGTAAGGCAGCGTGAGTATATACACAAATATGACAGGACTCAGCATTTTAAACAAAAAGACAACAAGGATGACAAAAATAATGAAACATTGGATTATGTGATCTCTACTTGCTGAACATATCAAATTATTATATTGGAACAAACTATAGCTAGTAATACCCAAACAAAACAAGAACATACAGAAGGACATTCATAAATACCAGTGCAAAGGTATCACAGACAGCAGCCAATCAGAATCTAGGGCTTGGTATATTCAATAAAAACGGAGAAGATGAAAGATAAGGTGTTACAAACAGTGAACTGTCAGATTTTAAATTGCATTTTCTAACGCACATTGAAAAAATGATGGATGGAATTGGGTTGGTTGTTAGCTGTAACACCTCCACTTTTCAGTTCCTCCACTTTTATAGAAATATTTCTAATTGTTAAACACCTAAAATTTACAGTCTTTACATTGGAAATGTCTGTAAAAGAGTTTCCACTGGATGAACTCACCCATTTGGGGATGTAGGAATAAGGATAGCCTTTTTAATGTAATATAAAACATGCTGACTATTGAGCTATGACAAGAGATATAAACTAGATATAAACGATTTACTTAGAGAATGTTCATAATAAATAACAATTCTTAGCAAAATGTAAAGTTAATCAGTAAACTGCTAATGCTATCCAGAAAACTGTGCCAATTTCATAATGTTCACTGAGTTTATACTTAATCTTAAAATGCATCTACAGCAAAAAATATATGGATGGGTTTTTTTTGTTTATATTTGAAAAAAATAGGAAATGGATGGGTTATTTTTGTGGCCAGTTCCAACGATTCATTCTCTATTTGTACTGGTGACCACCGTCTCTGAGAACAAAAGAGTGAGAAAATCTAAAATTTTGGAACAGGAATAGAGAGGAATGCTTTCAGTGGTGGTTCCTGTGACAACTCTCTGAAAGAGAGAGAGTTACTATTAATTACTGTTGTGTCTTTGAGACAGGAAGTAAAGGTAATTCGCACAAATTGCACACAGACAACAGAAAAACCTAACAGGGATTTTAAAATTTCTCTACTCTAACCAAAATAGAAAGAAAATTTGGCTGGAGACATACTTTAGGAAAGCTACTGGCATGTGCTTCTAAGTGGGGCAGCTTCAAATTATGATTATCTATTGTGTAACCTCTTTTCCATGCACCAATGTGTGAAGCTTGAGTGGGTTCAAAGAGAGGATGGCACATGAACAGAAGATACACTGAGAAATACAGGGAATGCACTTCAGGAACCCAAGAATCTTGACTTTGTATCAGCTTGCAGTTTTTGCACTCCTCATTGCTATTTCCTACAACCCATCATGGCATCAAGCAATTGAGAGGAGCTCCTTCTGGTTGGGTGAAAACAGGGGAAAAGGGTTTGCCACAACTCTTAGAGTTAGAGAATTCCTGGAAGAGTTTCCCTGGGTGTGGGGCTCTGCAGATGCACAGCAAATATTGTATTTCCATTTTATGTACTACCAGGGAACCTGTTACTTCATTAATGTTCACGTTAAGCAAACTTGCATTTACTTTAATGAACCTAAACTATAAAAAGACAAAAAAACTCCAGAACTCTAAAGAAAATTGTGCACCTTGTAGATGCCTAGAACCTTGGAAGCCATACGCAAACCTCAGTTTCTGACATTGTGCTTGGTGCCACCCTCTCCCACACCTCACTACTGATTCATTACCATTGTGGAGTCAACCCTGACCACTGAAAAAAATGGGAGAGGTGTGGCTAAGCACTTCAGCATCTATTTCCTTAAAAAAGGACATAGGTTTAGGCACCTTCAGTTGCCTCTACTACTTCTGCCTGTAGGTAACGTGATTCATGGTAAACAGGGGTTCACTTTAAATGCCAAGGGAATGTGGCTCTTGCCAGTTTCATTACATTCAAACACACTTTTTCTGGTTCCTCATCTAATTAAAAAAAGATGGAAAATTCTGATTGGCTGCCCCAGGTTACTGCAAAGCGTCTGTGTTTTTACCTGTGAACCTGTTCTTGTAAATGTCCATCTACATGACCTCTAATGGAATGACACTCAAACTAGACAAGAAGATATAGTTATCAATTGATATGACACTATATCTTTGTAAAAACTAGATTGTGAATTCTGACAATTTTGCCATTCACAATAAACTATTACGTCGCAGACAAACAAGAATTCAGATGGACTCATTTACTAGACATCTGGGACAAAGTCATCAGTAGCAATAGATCTGAAGGACAGAGCAGCGGGTTCACTTAGCACTAGGACTTGGCTGCAGGGGCATTCCTACTAGCCAGCTTCTGGTTGCTAAACTCGAAACCCTCTTAATATGACAGTGCTTTCAGAATTCTCACACAACTCCCACGCCAGGCTTGGCACACGTCACTAAGTTGGGTATGTGATGTTTCTGTTCATTATCTTGCTGACAAAGCCAGTAACCCTTTCCTTGCGATTAGCAGCTCAGGTTATTGTACTGAACTAAAGAAGAACTCTACACTGAAAAAAAAATGATACCATTTATAGTTTATATGTACCAGTGGTTTTGATATGTGGAGTGTGAACTACAGCAATGCTTGAATGGACGCTGCAAATCCAGCGTGTAGAGCAGCAGGTGTACAAAAACACAAGACGCTATGAAATTTAAAGTGTATACTGTTTTTTTTTTAGTTTTAGATACAGTACAGTATTTTTGCAGTCTTGCAACTTCCATTGGGGAAGTTTCGTTTCAAATCCTGTTCCAGCAATGCAACAGGAAGTGAGAGGAAATCTGTCTTTTAGACAGTTGTCATCTGAACACGTTTCCTTATAAGAAGATTTACACTTATTTCTTGCTCTGATAAAAATTATAAAATTTGGGATCTCCTATTACTTTCAGCCCTGATGAGAATGGCCCCCAGGACAAATAAACAGG